CCAAAGACTTTTCCTTTCCTACATATCCCTGTTCTTTTCTTTTATTGCTCTCTAATTCAGGCTATTTTTTTCCCCTGTGGCATGTCCCTGCCGGAACCCATCCTCTTCTAATTTTCTTGTCTATATTTCTCTCATGTCGTGCGTGTGCGTGTGCGTGTGCGTGTGCGTGTGCGTGTGCGTGTGCGTGTGCGTGTGCGTGTGTGTGTGTGTGTGACTCAATGAGCTTTATTAGATTTGCTTACGAGAGTGTGGATGAGGTGTTATTTACAGGTGCATGGGCACTTCACCAATGGCTATTCCACTGAAGAAAATGTCTCACTCCCAATAATCATTAACCATCTATAACCCCTCAGAGGGGATGGGTCACTTTTCTTGCTTGTCTACAGTTCTTATTCCTTGATTCTTTTCTCCTGCCCAAACTGAGATTTAATTCTCAATAAACCTAACAGGAAGTGTTAGAAGTTGAAAATGTTAAGCACAGCTTAGCAGCCCATGGCCAATGCAGTAATGGTTTCCTCTTGGGGTCACAGGACTGAATGGGAGCTGTGATTCCTGATGCTTCTCGGCACACTTGGGGGTATTGTGCTATGTGTAGCTAGCTTAGGAAAAGATCAGAATTCAAAATTTGAAGTGTGCTTTCTATTGAACGTGCATTACTTTCATACCACCATAAAGATGAAAAAATTTATGTTGGACCATCGGTTGTGAGAACTGTTTGTATTTCAAATATTCTCCTGTGTCCTTTCTTTCCCTCTCCAGCCTTATATAACTGCATTGAGTATCACAAAAGGTGCTTAACCAAGTAGAACCAAGGAGGATGTTTGTGCTTGAAGAGAGAGCTCCAGACTGCAGTACCGTAAAGCAGGAAATTGGAAACTGGAGAGCTAATCTGAGATAGAATGCCACAGCACTTCATAGAAAAGAGTGTCCCAGAAAAATGATGAAAACGGAATTAAAGAAACAGCTAAGTTAGGGACCCTCTGAAATACAATCTGTAAGGTCACTCACGTACTTTTTTGTCCTGAATATCTCTACAAGACAGAGGACAGAGAACACTGGGGTGGGTCTGTAACTGGCCCCTGTGCATCTCCTGTTATGCACCTCCAAAGGGCACACTCCCGTGTGTCATAGGGAGGAAGATGACGTTTAGGACAGCTCGACTGTGCTTCACATTGACGGCGCCTTCTTTTCAGCCATCCCTTGGTTCCACTGGGAATGCAGGAGAACCCTGAGCTGCTGATGTGTTCCTTGGAAGGGACATAGTTCTAAACCATGCTAAACCAGTTCTGACTGGTGATCAGTTCAGAGAAAGTCCTGTGTTGTAAGCCAGTCCAACCGAACGCCTCTTGAGATTTCCAGAATTTCTGGGGAATGGATCTCCTCCTTGTGTGGATGGTATGGTGTGCGCGTGTGAGGCTTATGCTTTTCACTTTGCCTGTGCATGAGGTCTATATGGAAGAAGGCAGAGCAGGAAGGATGGCAGAGAAATAGAGTTGGAATCCTTGTCAAAGTATGCCTGAAGCCCACACTGCCACAGGTCTGTTTAAAATGGGAGCCAATTCTTGGTGCTTAGAATTTAAGCTGAGCGTAGTTGAGTTTTCTTTCTTAAAACTAAAAATCTCTGGATAGATGTCCTTATAGCTCATGCTTTTTCACTATCCTCTTAGGTGATGACAGTTGAGACTAATGTCAGCCCAGCATAAAAAGCGTTGCTAATCTCATTTAATTTATGTAATTTCATATCTCTGGATGCCCTGTTCTGAGTCACTCTCATAAACTGACCTTGTGTTGGAATGGCGGTAGGAATTCCAACAGAGGCGGTGTTGGATGATAATTTATTACCCTCTTCATAGCAGTTCTTCACCCTCTGTGTTTTCTTTTTAAAAACAAAACTTAAATTTTAACTTTTTCTTTTCTGGCCTTGTCCAGCTCATGACTCAGTCCTGGCCAGTTAGACTGAACCCCCTTGGGGAGATGATTCAAGATGAGCTGTTTCAGAACTCCTCCCATCCCCCACCCCCCCTTGACCCCACCCCTCCGACCCCCACCACCGGCCCCATCCATCTTGTGTTTGGACACTGACTTGGCACTTGTGGCTTTGCCAGCTGCTCTGTCATAGTGTGAAAGACTGGGTAACGTGCCAAAACAGCCAAGAGGACAGATCAAAGAGCATGGGCCTTGATGACACCACAGGGCAGCTGAATCACACCAACAGCCACCTTCCTCCAGAGTCCTGGCCCGTGACAAAAATAACCCTTCTTGACTGAATCACAGCAAGTCAAGCTTTCTGAGATTTACAGCACAAACATCTCCTCCGATTCGCACATGTTACTATGAGAAAGTCAGTCTGTTTTTCTTCAGAAAAGATGAACACATTCAAGTCAGACTATGTATGAACTGTGTGAGTCTTCTGTCTTTCAGAGAGTTTCTGTCTTATATGTGTCCTGTCTTCCGAGGGCTCTCACACCATTGGTCCTTAAACCAAGAGCAGCATCTTTGGTCCACACCACACCCTTTCCTCTTAGGTGTGGATGGTAATTACTAGAACAGCACTCAAGCTGCACTGTCTTCAGGACTCGTTAATAAGCACAGCAGTTGGCTTTTCTCTGGGACACAATCATATCACAATTGAATAACGGCTGCTTCAAGTCTTACCCTGTGCTTCAGCAAGATAGACCCTTGACTACTGGAGAAATACTCTGAGACATGGAATTGCATTGGCTAGACTCTAGTCACTAGAGCCTTGAGGCAAGTTGGTAAGACCAAAAAGTGACTTCCAGAGCCAACCCATTTCCCAGTGAGGACATGTCTCTGCTTCTCCATGTATTTAGATGAATGTAAATCTCATCGACCATATTGCTGGCTTTCTGAAAACTGCCCTGCACAGCCTGCTGGTACTTTTCATTCTTGTTTGGTTTTTGGAAAAGAGAATGGCCAAGAGCTCCATTGCAGCCTTTTTTTCATGGGAGATAAGATATAGACACCACCCCAGAGAGTCTGTTAAGGCCTTCAGCCAGGTTTCTCATGGTTTTCTACAAACCTACTTGCTCTTGTGTTCAAACATAGATTGGGGACATCACTAATATTGGCAGCTATGGTTAGAAGGGGATTGCTGTGGCCTTTTAGTACAGAAAAGTCACAATGTCCGTTTTTTAAACAAGTATGTACAGAAATTTTCCACTTTGATCCAACCAGAATTCCGGAAGCAATCATAAACGGCCAGCCCAAGAGTCCCTTTCTTTGGTCAGCATCACTTTATTATAGATATCAAATGCCTCATTTTGCTATAGATAAATGGAAATGTCTTTTTGAGTGAAACTTCTCTGCCTCCATTTCTTTCTGGCAATCATCTTGTGAGTGGGCCAAAGAATCCCTGAACTGTAATAATTAGCAGGGTGTGGCTGGTATGACGAATCATGGGGTTGTGGTACATGTCTCATCTTTTTTGGACAGAAATAGTGTGTGTTTTGAACTCCTTTTTCATTATCATTGGCTATCAAATAATAAATAGTTCTTCTCCTTTACAGTAAGTAGCATGATTCCAGGAGAAAAGCAAGACATTGCCTCAACATGAAGGATGACTTAGCATAGTGGGTTGACAGAAAAGTCAAGATAATTATAAGATCTCTCACCATCAAGATTATCCTAACTGGGAGGAAGAAATACATATTTCCCCCCTTGGAACTATCTCAATCAGCCTGCTTGTTTTTCTTCTCTTTCTGTTCTTTCTTTACCTATTCATTTATTTTCTCATGTGCCCCCCACTTGCACTCGTAAGTCTAATTTTAGTATCCAGTCACTGTTTAATACGGGTACTAGCATAGGCAGTCTGTGTTCAAGGCTTTTACTCTCCCGTGATATGTCATACTTAATTAACTGTCACCTTCACTATTAATATTAACTGAAATATTAATTTGATGAATCTTAATTTCTCTTAATCATAGCATCATTTTGATCCTTCATTGGATATCTCTTTAGAGTGACACTCAGTGCAGAGGAGAAATATTAATAGCATATTAAGGCGTTTAAAACATCTCTTCAATAATTGCATGTTTTCCTGGTAAGGATGCGTGTTGCTTGAACAGATGTAGGTACCCTGATTTCCTTGTTAGCAAATGGATGTTTTGTCTTGATCACCCTCTGACTTTATTTTTGCACCTTTAAATGAAAATACTTCCAAATTTAAGAAATGTTCCTCCCAAGATGAATTCTCCAGAGTCTGCTGCATTATTGGAATGGCAAGGGCTTTGTACTATTAATGGAGGCATGGGGAATTTAAATTTGAAGGTTTAGTCTGAGCCTTTGGTAGCAGAATCTATGGAGAGCCAGGACCCAGGAGGAAAGAGCCAAGATGAAGGACAGCTGAAACAGATATGAAGGAAGGGAGGAGGAGGGAGGGGGAGAAGGGAGGGAGGGAAACGGAACTGGCCTATTTACTGACTATTCTAACATTCCTCTCATTCATTAGAAATGTTTTTCTCCCCCTTGCCCTGTACCCCTCATCACAGATACACTGAACCTGGATGAAGATGCTCATCAGAATGCCCCTCCATCACTAGCACATGACTGGCTCAAAGAGTATATTTAGGTATGGCCCCACCACTCAAGTCCAGTCCCGGACCCACAGGCACAGACTCATCCCCAGGCCTCTGGTTCTCAGGAGCTTCCTCAAGCATCAGCTCCTTCACTAAAGGGAGAATGCCAGCAGTTCTCCTTCCTTCCCCACTACCCTGAGCACTATGAGGAGGATCCTGAATCTTTTTTTTTTTTAAGATTTATTTATTACGTATACAGTGTGTTCTGCCTATATGCATGCTTGCAGGCCAGAAGAGGGCGCCAGATCTCATTACAGATGGTTGTGAGCCACCATGTGGTTGCTGGGAACTGAACTCAGAACCTCTGAAAGAGCAGCCAGTGCTCTTCACCCCTGAGCCATCTCTCCAGCCTGGATCCTGAATCTTTACCCACTCCGGAGCAGCATGTACCACGAGCCCACTTACCTCCAGGTACACCACCCACGGCATCACTAACGTGGCCACCAGCAGGTCGGCAACAGCCAGGCTCACCACTAGGTAGTTGGTGGTGGTCTGTAGGGCACGCTCCCTCAGCACAGCTGCACATACCAGGACATTGCCGAAGACGATGGCTAGGATGAGCGCACAGTAGGACAGGGCATAGTAGGCATGCGGGCGGGCCCGGCTGGCACCCGTGGAATTCTCTGCCCCACAGGTGGAGTTGATGTGGCTGCTTATTTGGCTCAGAGGTGCCATAGCCCAGACAGAGGAATGTGACTCCAAAATGTTCCTAGGAAAAGACAGAAAACAATGTAGATCAGAGCAGACTCTTTGAGGCTGGGATAGGGTATGTAGATACAGTTTAAAATGTCTGTGTCTACAAACGTTCATGGACCATTTCCTATATAATATCAGGCAGTTCTGTAAGAACTAGAGATACAGCTAGGGACGAAACAGGTAGATAAACGATTCCTCCTCTATGAAGTGTCTATGGGGGGGGGAATATAATAATCAAAATAATTCCTGTTCAGTGATAGTATGCATTTTGGAGAGAAGTAAATCAGAAATGGGAGTTGGGGAGTGAGCGGTTGAGGGCAGTGTGCATGTGGGTGAGCATTTGAAAACAATTCCTAACTGGTGTCGTCAGGAAGTCTGCACGGGTCTATTAGCAATCAAGTCAAAGCTGGCAGAGGAAAAGAAACCACCATCACAGATACCTGGTGGAGCGTGGTCCAAGCAGAAGGAGCGGGGTGCCTTGAAGAGGCTGGGGTGTGGGGAGGGTAGCTGGGGTGTGGGGAGAGAAGCAGGGGTGTGGGGAGGGTAGCAGGGGTGTGGGGAGAGTAGCAGGGGTGTGGGGAGAGTAGCTGGGGTGTGGGGAGAGTAGCAGGGGTGTGGGGAGAGTAGCAGGGGTGTGGGGAGGGTAGCTGGGGTGTGGGGAGAGTGGCAGGGGTGTGGGGAGGGTAGCAGGGGTGTGGGGAGAGTGGCAGGGGTGTGGGGAGGGTAGCAGGAAGGCCCGCACAGCTGGAGTCTAATGAGGCGGCCTTGAGGTGGAGGGATGTGAGCTTTGAAGGCTGTGTGGGTGACTGAGAGAATCATGCTCGCACTGTGTGTGGGATGAAGCTGCTGCAGCGTGAGAATTCTCCTGGACATTTCCTGGCTCCGGGACCACAGGCCTGGTATCTCTCTGAGCTCCACTTTTCTCCTCTATAAAACGGAGGAATGATAGAGCGCATTTCCGAAGATTTCCACTCCAGGCGTAGTGGAAATGATTCTCAGGGCGTCATTATAGCTCAGTGGCAATGTACACAAATCACAGCCCTGGGTTCGACTCCAGCCCCACACAAAAAGAACAGAATTATTTTGTGTATTTATTCATTCATTTGGGGGTTTTGAGACAGGGTCTCCATCTGTAGGCTGAGCTGGCTTTAAACTCAAGGTGGTCCTACTGCCTCAGACTCCTAAATGCTGAGATCACAGGCATGAGCCACCATGATTGACTTATGAAAGAACTGTTTTGTGTGTTAGACTTTGGAAGCCATGCTTTATACCTCAAATACTATGCAAGTACTGTGTTGGCTTTTTTTTCTTTCTTACCAGCCTGTTCACTGTTCATCTTAGTTTCCTTTCTTTTCAAATTCTTAATAAAAACGTATTTGTGTGTGTGTGTGTGTGTGTGTGTGTGTGTGTGTGTGTGTGTGTGTGTG